TCCCTACAAGAGCAGATATGACAGAAGGTGGGGCTCATGAATCATCTGCCACATGTTAATGCCTCAATGCGCCAAAGGACAACTCAACAGCGTCCATTTCCCTCATTTCAGGCGCGGATTTTGTTGACTGACTTTTAAAAGACTAACCGAGGGAGGTAAGCATGTCTGATTCTAAGAGAGATAACTACTAAGAGCGAAATGTTGCTTGTATTAATCTCATTAATCCAGGGACCAAAGAGACACAAGTCATCGGATGGGCAGAAGGAAAACGAACAAAGTCAGTTCTGCCTTCATCAGATAAATCATGCCCGACCGAGCCTGTGAGCTCGTATCCGGTTTTGCCGAGGTAGTTAATCGCACTTTCATCAATGATGAATGAATTCAGTATGGCGTGAACTCAACAACGGAATTAAAGAATTACTTATAAGCATCGACCACAACTTCAAAGCGCGGCCCGGCTTGCCTCCAGTTTGATCGAATGATACAGTAGTGGGTTTCAGGCTGTGGGTTCTTCAAATTAGAATGTCAGGGGATACATATCAGGAGTAGGCGGATTGCAGGACACGTCCATGTTCCATTTTTGGTCTACATTCTCAAAATAATATTAATCGAACGCGCATTTGCAGCACACGTTCGTGCGTTCCTTCCCGCATCCGGGATATTCCAACTGAATCCCTAAATCCATAGACGACCTGGTAGTTATCTATTCCCCATCGCTATTCCCTTGTGGTTACACCAGGGAGATAAAAGTGGACGCTCGGGAAAGGGGAATTCCAGTAAAAAGCCCTGTCAGAATGGAGACGCAGCGAGATCCAGTCGGCTTGACAAGAATCCTGTTTGTAGAGTAGATGCAAAAGTAGATAAACATCAGATCTAGCGGCCAGAGAGCGCGGGGATGAAAGGAAGAAATGGGACAGTCAATAGGACGGCAAAAAGCTAGAGATGTTGTGCGCCGGGCCTGGGACCCACGATTAAATGAGTTGATTCTGAATGGGTGGGTGATTTGATAACAGTCAGACAGCGCTAGAACACATTAGGAAATAGCTTTGCGAATTAGTATCACTGATGAGAAGCCATCGGGCTGCGATCTCAACTCGGCGTCTGTTGATCGAAGCGATGGCCGCCTTTGACGAAAATAAACAGGAATTTAAAAAAGTATATCTAGCTCCAGTATTCGATTCTGGCGTCACGGTCGGATGTTGGATACACGGCCATGCTCGGCTGTTCACAGCCTCGATCCAATCCACTTGTTTGTTGTTATGGCAGTTGCTAGGGATTTATTTTTTTTTCGCCGTCATTTTTAAAAAAAAAATACTGTATTTGCTTTTATAATGGAAATAACTTGTTAATCCAAAATAACGCTTTGAGAATAATATGGCCGACAGGCCTCTTTCATGATATAATTCTGTCTAATTGTTTGCGATTTGCGCATGCGCTTGTTCATTCTCGCTTCATCAGAAGCGTTTTGACAATTGAAGAAATATGTCTGCGTGTTATCGGCATATCTCTGATACAAATCTATATCGCTGTGTGGCAATTTGTAAATCCTTCCCCCCGCCTACCAACTTCACGTTCGATTAATACTTGCGCCATTCGTGGCGGACTGTTTATGTTTGGCGTGATTAAAGCAGTGTTTTGTTCCGCGCAATAATTTGCCTCTGTGTTCAGCGGTTGGGGATTATGCCTGGATAAACGCGGGAAGTCACAATATACAGAATTTATTTTAATCTTCGTAATAAAAAGGTAAAGTTAGTTGCATACCCTGTAGTAAGGTTAGTTCTGTATCATGTACTGTATATCGTTTAGCTTTGGTGGTCAGAACTGTTGAACAGTAATTTTTTTTTCAAACAAGGCTCAAGCGATATCTTTAGCTGCTGCTATAAAATCTTGCTCCGGTGGTCAAGCCAGCCGGTGCTCCGTAGAAAATAGTTTCATTCTTAGTTTTGGCGGTCTCAGTCTTGAGTGCATTCATACTTAACACAGCTATGTTTAATTTTATTGAATTTTTCCATTTAATAATTAGTCTGGCTTGTTTAATTCCCATCTTCTTCCTGTGTGGTTTTTTTTTTCCAAATGTATTCTTACACATTTCATCTCGTAGTTTAACCCCTCACATCCTTCGCCCTCCCCACCCCGTCCCACACACATACCCACACACACACACACACACGCACACATAATTATGTTCTTCTTGGTTTAATGTTGACCTTGGTTGTTTAGAAAGTCTGTTGTCCTGTCCGTTGAGTGTTCCCATCAGTCTGTTGTCCTGTCCGTTGAGTGTTCCCATCAGTCTGTTGTCCTGTCCGTTGAGTGTTCCCATCAGTATGTTGTCCTGTCCATTGAGTGTTCCCATCAGTCTGTTGTCCTGTCCGTTGAGTGTTCCCATCAGTCTGTTGTCCTATCCGTTGAGTGTTCCCATCAGTCTGTTGTCCTGTCCGTTGAGTGTTCCCATCAGTCTGTTGTCCTGTCCGTTGAGTGTTCCCATCAGTCTGTTGTCCTGTCCGTTGAGTGTTCCCATCAGTCTGTTGTCCTGTACGTTGAGTGTTCCCATCAGTCAGAGTTATATTCTTCTTCTTCTTTTGCGATCTGTTTCGTATGCTCAAGCCAGCATATCAGGTGGGTTGCCTCTATGAGCTTGTATGTCATCTGCAGGTCCTGCATGGTTATCCATACCTTGCTCTGCACAATTTGCTCCAGAGGCCAGTTAAGTTCAGTTTTTTTAATGGGGGGGGGGGGAGGGGGGGGGGGTCAAAGTTGTAGGTAGAGTGAGCAGGTCTGAAGAATGCGGTCATATGTTTGTGGTCCTGTCTGACAGACCCACTGTGGGGGCTGTACAGTCTTTACATTATGCATGTGGTAGTTGAGCCTGCCGTGTCCTGTTCTAAGCGCAACATTGTTGTAAGTAGCTTTCTGCTGAGTCTGCTGCTGTTGTATTCACTACACCGTTGATAAAGACTTAGTCGAGACGTACGGTCGTTTTCGTGCGTGTCCCTCGGTTCAGTTGTCTTGTCACATTTTATGTTATTTAGCACCAATATTAATAGACCTATTTCCACATTATCTTATATATAATGTTGTACCAAAGACCAGTTGGGACTCCACTGACGGGATCAGAAAGGTGCAACCCCCTTTAATCCCCAAAATATTTCCTGCAACCAGTTGTAAGCTAGGTCGTTCTGAAAATTATCTGGAATATAAAGGCGGACAATGGCTTTTCTGATTACATAACATATTTCTGTACGCCGCGGATTGTGAAAAAGCATTCACTAAACTCTAAACCATAAAGCCACGGGACTAACTTTCATCATCATCTTTATCAGCGATTTCCACTTCTGTTGTTAAGCGCCGTGGGGAGGAGCAGTTGGATTGCTGGGCAGCAATAGCTATTGTCATTCCACGTCTACCTAGAAACTCTTTAATGTCATCAATCCATGTTTTCCTAGGGCTACCTCTTGATTTCACATCAGATCTGTTCAGGTGTAGCGCCTGCGTTGGTAGTTGTTCTGGCTGCATTCTTACTAGATGACCAAACCATCTGATCGCCTGTTTCTCAGTGAATTTGCTGCACGGCATTGTTGGGACTTACTGTATACCCTTTAATCTACACTTGGCTCAAAGTATACCCGACATTTTCTTCCTCAACTGCTAAAAGTGCACATCAGTTCTCGTAATCCGTCTCTCATGCAGCATCCATCAAGTATCACTTCATCGCTGCTCGTAATCTCATTACTTGGATATCACCGCCCAGGCAACCACTTCACACAGGAAGCGGAAGTCAACGACACATCCCGGAAACCACCTAGCGAACGCTTCGTTACAAGTTGATTGCTCAGATTTCTGCCTCGGCCCGCAGACCGTCAACAAATGGCACGCTGATAATGGTTTTATTCATTGTCTTAGTTGACACATTTTTTTCCTTCGTTTATACAAGAGGGGCTGGCATGTTGTATTGTGGTTTACAGCTCGGCTGCAATATCTGCACCTTTCGGGGTTCACACCAATTCGAGCAATCTTCTTATTAGTCGCCTTTTGTGAGGTACACGAGCGCGCGTGTGTGTGTGTTTGTGTGTGTTTGTGTGTGTGTGTTTGTGTGTTTGTGTGTGTTTGTGTGTGTGTGTGTGTGTGTGTGTGTGTGTGTGTGTGTGTGTGTGTGTGTGTGTGTGCGCGCGTGTGTATGTGTGTTTGTGTGTGTGTTTGTGTGTGTGTTTGTGTGTGTGTTTGTGTGTGTGTGTGTGTGTGTGTGTGTGTGTGTGAGCGTGCGCGTGTGTGTGTGTGTGTGCGGTAACGTCTTAGTTGTAATAATTTGTTTTGACGAGCACTGATCCGGGAGGTGTGGAGAGAGGGAAGCGTGGCGCAGTAGTAGGATGCCTATCAGCATCCGTGTCTGTTGTTGGAGGTTTAGATCTCAGTCCAAGCAGGGTTTTTTTTTCTGACCTGCTTTCCCTAGTTGATGGCTGGCGAGAAGTGCAGAAATCTTAGCCATGTGTCTTTCTTGTAATGCTTGTCAAACAGTGTGTCCAGGTCTCGATTGCAGCTTCAAACATTACCAGCCTGTGACCCAATGACCCACAACTGAGATAGAATCGAACGGTAGCAAGTCCTAGTCCTTTTCAACAGTATAACATAACTATATTCGGGCATTCTACCATTACCTGCTTTATTTCTTCTTCGTCTTGTTCATCGCTTATAAAGCCTCCAGCTAAAGTTCTGGTTGTTCGTTCACTTCTGGACTTTGGTCTTCATCCAGAACTTGAGTAGTTTTACGTTCACATTCGTCTTGCTGATCTGGCTTATATGTATGCAGACTGTTGGTTACTTCTCTTCTAAGCAGATTTCAACAAGTTTCAGAGCTCCTCTATGTTGTCATAACTCCGACTATTGTGGCAGCAATGATTTGTGGTAGTGAGTCAATCAATATTCAGTTTTTTTTGTTTCTAATGTATATTTCTACTAATTATTTAGTCAGAGCAATGACCGTGGCTTTTGTTATCTACTTGCAGGTTTGGTTCAAGAACCGACGCGCCAAATGGAGAAAGCAGAAGCGGGAACTCGAGGCAGCAGACAAGCGAACGGGAGACAGCAGCTCGTCTGCTAAAAGTAAACCAACTACGCATGCGCCGGAAGTCGCAAAGAGCATAGCTTCCGTTGATGAGGACGAACAGGAAGACTCCATTTGCGTGGATGAAGAGGAACGGGAAGCTGCAGCACACGAGGACAAGGAAGAGGCGGTTTTTGCAGCCTCTTCTAGCTTCCAACAGCAAAGGCGGTCTTCGTTGCAGGATAATGATGGTTCTTATCTCGACCTGCGACAGGGCCCCGCGCTACCAACAGGGAACTTAAGTCGGATATACAGCCCCGGAACCAGACCCCGATCCCAAGATACAGGAGAAACAAGTGTCTGTCATGAAGATTATTCCGAAGAAGAATTATCTCCATAACTGTATAACATTTAGAATATCTCTCTTACTACTTAAAACAAAGTTATTGCCCACAGTGCAATGGAGGGGAAGACACACAGAGAGGGAGGTAATCTATTTTTGACATAAATAGATCTACTCTTATGATTTAGAGAATATCTAAATAATTGAAACAAATGAGTATATTCGCATCGCTATTGTGTGTACTCTGGAGATTCACTCTTTGGAGATTAAACATTATGATCAAACATGACATCTTGTAAATAAAACAATAATTCCCGTCCCTTCTGTGGACTGGAGCGACACATGGCCTGTTATAGTAAACATACAGGAGGCTAATAAAGAATAATTCAAGCAGATTAACAAATACAATTGTTTCCTGTTGTGCCCGCCATCTTGTCATCTCTAGGTCGGAGGTGAATGGTGCGCCGTTAAATTATTGGACGTCGTGATGCTCCCATTGAGAATCAAAACCATTGTGAATCAAAGAAATAACAATTGGCTTTTTTTATGTGTGATGTCGATGTTTATGACTAAGGGGCTGTGAATTCAGCTTCATAATTCCAAAATGCCAGGTTTGATCCAGGCTCAGACTATTTGGTAAAACATCGCTTACCGTTTGATCCGACAGTGAGCTGCAATTCTGGTGTGGGACAGTTTGTGGTGGAATATCTGACAGCTACCTTATGCATTTTACTTTGCGTGTGCAAGCTTCAAGAATTAGCCTAGACTGACAAATTGTTCTCGGGTTTTCAAATTGGACAGTGAAGGACATTTTATGTGACATCCACGGGTACAGTTTTGCGGCCACCCGCCTGCAGTGATTCTAAAGCCTCGACTAACTAGCGAGCTAACCCATCGAGTGCCAATTGATCAACAAACATTTTAGCCTAGCGCTACAGTAGTGTATCATGTCGTCGACTGGCGTGTATCATGTCATCGACTAGCGTGTATCATGTCGTCGACTGGCGTGTATCATGTCGTCGACTGGCGTATATCATGTCGACTGGCGTGTATCATGTCGTCGACTGGTGTGTATCATGCCGTCGACTGGAGTGTATCTTGTCGTCGACTGGCGTGTATCATGTCGTCTACTGGCGTGTATCATGTCATCGACTGGCGTATATCATGTCAACTGGCGTGTATCATGTCGACTTGCGTGTATCATGTCGGCTGGCGTGTATCATGTCGTCGACTGGCGTGTATCATGTCATCGACTTGCGTGTATCATGTCGACTGGCGTGTATCATGTCATCGACTGGTGTGTATCATGTCATCGACTTGCGTGTATCATGTCGACTGGCGTGTATCATGTCATCGACTGGCGTGTATCATGTCATCGACTTGCGTGTATCATGTCGACTGGTGTGTATCATGTCGTCGACTGGCGTGTATCATGTCATCGACTTGCGTGTATCATGTCGACTGGCGTGTATCATGTCATCGACTGGTGTGTATCATGTCATCGACTTGCGTGTATCATGTCGACTGGTGTGTATCATGTCGTCGACTGGCGTGTATCATGTCATCGACTTGCGTGTATCATGACGACTGGCGTGTATCATGTCGACTGGCGTATATCATGTCGACTGGTGTGTATCATGTCGACTGGCGTGTATCATGTCGACTGGCGTATATCATGTCGACTGGCGTGTATCATGTCGACTGGCGTATATCATGTCGACTGGCGTATATCATGTCGACTGGCGTGTATCATGTCGACTGGCGTATATCATGTCGACTGGCGTGTATCATGTCGACTGGCGTGTATCATGTCATCGACTGGCGTGTATCATGTCGACTGGCGTGTATCATGTCGTCGACTGGCGTGTATCATGTCATCGACTGGCGTGTATCATGTCGACTGGCGTGTATCATGTCGTCGACTGGCGTGTATCATGTCATCGACTGGCGTGTATCATGTCGACTGGCGTATATCATGTCGACTGGCGTGTATCATGTCGACTGGCGTGTATCATGTCATCGACTGGCGTGTATCATGTCGACTGGCGTGTATCATGTCGACTGGCGTGTATCATGTCGTCGACTTACGTGTATCATGTCATCGACTGGCGTGTATCATGTCGACTGGCGTATATCATGTCGTCGACTGGCGTGTATCATGTCATCGACTGGCGTGTATCATGTCGACTGGCGTATATCATGTCGACTGGCGTGTATCATGTCGACTGGCGTGTATCATGTTATCGACTGGCGTGTATCATGTCGACTGGCGTGTATCATGTCGACTGGCGTGTATCATGTCGACTGGCGTGTATCATGTCATCGACTAGCGTGTATCATGTCATCAAATGGCGTGTATCATGTCATCGACTGGCGGGTATCATGTCATCGACTGGCGTATATCATGTCGACTGGCGTGTATCATGCCATCGACTGGCGTATATCATGTCGACTGGCGTGTATCATGTCATCGACTGGCGTGTATCATGTCGACTGGCGTGTATCATGTCGACTGGCGTGTATCATGTCATCGACTGGCGTGTATCATGTCGACTGGCGTGTATCATGTCGACTGGTGTGTATCATGTCATCGACTGGCGTGTATCATGTCATCGACTGGCGTGTATCATGTCATCGACTGGTGTGTATCATGTCATCGACTGGCGTGTATCATGTCATCGACTGGTGTGTATCATGTCATCGACTGGTGTGTATCATGTCATCGACTGGTGTGTATCATGTCATCGACTGGTGTGTATCATGTCATCGACTGGCGTGTATCATGTCATCGACTGGCGTGTATCATGTCATCGACTGGTGTGTATCATGTCATCGACTGGCGTGTATCATGTCATCGACTGGTGTGTATCATGTCATCGACTGGTGTGTATCATGTCATCGACTGGCGTATATCATGTCATCGACTGGTGTGTATCATGTCATCGACTGGCGTATATCATGTCATCGACTGGTGTGTATCATGTCATCGACTGGCGTGTATCATGTCATCGACTGGCGTGTATCATGTCATCGACTGGCGTGTATCATGTTGACTGGCGTGTATCATGTCATCGACTGGTGTGTATCATGTCGACTGGCGTGTATCATGTCGACTGGCGTGTATCATGTCATCGACTGGCGTGTATCATGTCATCGACTGGCGTGTATCATGTCATCGACTGGTGTGAAAGAGGTTCATTTAAATATTGATTGTTTAATTACTAAAAAAGACAATCTTAAAATCATATTGGAGGGAAATGTCAAAAGGCAGGACAGCAAGAGATCGACAACGATACAAGTGGGTGGACAACATCAACAGATAAACGAACAGCAGTCTGAGAGAGTGTACAACCAAGAGAAGAGACAGAGTATGTTGAAGATCCATTGCAGCCAACCTTCCCTGCGGAGACGGCCCCTGATTAACTGATTTATTGATTAATAACATTATCTAAATTCGAAAGAAACAAATTGTATCACCATTCATTTTTTTTAATTTTATACCCTCCCTTGAAAAGATGCCTGTCAAGCTAGGCTGTGAAATCTGCCCTTTTTGGTCCAACATATCTGCAGAGCCATAATTAATCGCATTTGATACATGCTTGTTTCCCGGGGGGGGGGGGGGGGGGAGAGCATTGAGTATATTCTCCTGATTCCCCTTCCCGTCATGGGCTCCGTAATCCCCATCGGGATGACCATAGTCACAAAGTGTGAACACTTTAGCTCCCACAACTACCCTCAGGAATTTTTAAAAACATTATGCCTCGTGATCTGAGCGACTCAGTCAACAAAGGACTTCAGTCCCCCTCCCACCCCCAACCCCTCCCCTCCCCTTCCCCTCCCGAGCTGACTGCTCACTCTGGGAACAAACTGGTAATAATTGTTCAAACTCCGCCATGTTAGTTCCGAGCCCGCATGGAAGGTTGGGGTCAGAGATTACGCATATTGACTCTCTAGCAAGCATGTCGTAAGAGGCGACTATTTAAAGGAGATTCCTTCGAAGTCCAAGGGCATCTGCCTGAGAGGCGAGAAACCGACAGTGTGCATACATGTAAACCAGGTCTTGTAAAAAGGATATGCACACACAACTCAAGTACTGAAACAAGACAACAACCCTGAAGTGGACGAACACCCAGAACTTACCGCTGGAGCAAAGACAGTGAGGTATACATGTGTGCCCCCCCCCCCGCCCCATCTCCACCCTTTTCCCCCACCCAGTGTCGGTTACCGGAAGCTTTATAATCGATACTCCCTGTTCAATCTCCACATAATTTTAAATAAGGGGCGTACTCTTCAGTCTTGTGGGTAAGTGTATATTAAAGGTAGAGACTGCAAGAAGTAAGAAAACACATTCACGCTTCGCAGCTTCCTGCAGGGGCATCAGTCTCTCTCATCGTGAGCAAATTCTTGTCTCCCACTAGTCAGTTAAATCACTATGCACTCCTGGTGTTTGGAAATAAGGTTCCCCCCTCCCCCCTCACACAAAGCTATACTGGCTAGCTAAAGGGTCATTTGTGTGTGTGTATGGAATGGAACTCACTTGGCGGACGTGTTAGCGCAGTCGATAAGAGACTCGCTTTCAAATCCAGCTGGGACTCGCTGCAGCCCACGGTCGGTGTTCGAAACCCGGCGGCTCCCGGGGTTCACCCAGCCTCTAGGAAATGGGCACCAGAGTTGACACTCTGGGATAAATGGAGGAACGTCGTTGTAGCTACAGAGTTACGTGCGGACAGCGACACAGGCGGACAGTTTCTTATCTGCTATCCGTACTGGTGGCAGAGTACTTATGGTTTATAACCGTGTGCAATGACGCTGGTTCACATCTCCAGACCTTTGGAACTCACCACCTCTATTCTACATTAGCCATCCCACTATCGCAGTCTGTTTATCTGAGTGTATGAACACCACATATGTGATGACCCCTTTCCATCAGTCCAGACGATAATGTGATGTTGTGCTGAGGGGTGGGGGGTGGAGAAAACACAGCCCATGGCGTTGGCGAGTGAGACTTGCAGCATAGATGGAAGCAGAGCCTGGAGAGGTACTTGGTGATGATAATA